AAAAGAACTAGAAGGGAGGGGGGAGGGGGAGGGAAAAGGACTAGAAGGGAGGGGGGGGAAGAGGGGAAGGGGAGGAGGGAGGAAAAGGGACTAGGAAGGAGGGGGGGAAAGGGGAGGAGGGAGGAAAGGACTAGGGAAGGAGGGAGGGGGAGGGGGAGAGGAAAAGGACTAGGGTAGGGGGTAGGAATAGGGCTAGGGGAAGGGGGGAGGGGGGAGGAATATGACAAGGGAGAGAGGGGAGGGGAAGGAAAAGGAAAAGGACTTGGGGGAGGAGGGGGAGGGGGAGGGGGGAGAAGGGAAGGAAAAGGAGTGAGGGGAGAGGGAGAAGGAGTAGACTAGGGGAGGAGGGGAGAAGGGAAGGAGGAAGACACATAGAACCTAATGGAAACGAAAATGGATAATGGTAACGATAAAAAAAAAAAAAAAGAAAAAATAAAACTGTAAAAAAATAATAATATTAATACGAGTGACTGAGTTCGGCTTCCGACCGCCATCCACCAAAAAGCGAAATTATGTATTCGCATTTTTTGAATTCCACCAAAAAAGTAAAAAAAAAAAAAAAAAAAAAAAAAAAAAAAAAAAAAAAGTTCGAAAAGGTGAAAAATTCTTTCTGGAAGTTTGAATGGATGGTGGGCGGTTCTATCTGTAAATCATATATATATTTTTGTTGAATTTTAAGAATCCACTTTTTTTTGGAAGATTAAGGAAAGAAGAATGTCTTTTTGAGTTGTGTTATTGTGTTTTTTCCTTATATTACTTTTTTAAAGAATTTATTGATTCTATTTGTTCCCTTTTGCAGTTAATTGTTTATGTGAAGAATAACCCTCAGTATGTGTGATGATTCAAGGTTTATGTAGTTATATATTATATATGTAATATATATTATATATAATATATATATATATATTATATATATATATATATATATATATATATATATATATATATATATATATATATATATATATATATATATTATATAATATATGTATATATATATATATGTGTGTGTGTGTGTGTGTGTGTGTGTGTGTGTGTGTGTGTGTGTGTGTGTGTGTGTGTGTGTTATGTATATATATATATATATATATATATATATATATATATATATATATATATATATATATAATATATTATACTGATGCGCTACAGAAAAGTCAGACCCAAGCACTTTAGCGAAAAGAAAAAAAAAAATCGATCTCAACATTTTTTCTGTACAAAGACACACACACACACACACACACACACACACACACAACACCACACACACCACACACACACACACACACACACACACACACACACACACACACAACCCCCCTCCCCCACACACAACAACCCCCCCCTCCCACCCACACAAACACACAACACACCACTTTTGCGAGATGTTGACGTCCACCACCGCCGAGTGACGTCACGAAGGTCCGGATGAGGATGGGCAGTTACGCGAACGGCGATACCCAGCGGAGACACGGCGAAGATACACGGGAGACAAGGCCAATAAACACAACGTGAGAGAGAGAGAAAAGAGAAGAGAGGAGAAAGAGAGGAGAAAGAGAAAGAGAAAGAGAGGGAGAGAGAGAGATGATGATACCAAACCAAGGTGGCAGTTGAGACGAAAGCGATCCCAGATGCCTCGGATACCAGAGATACAACAACCCGGGCGAGGAGACTTTTTCTTCCGCTGATTCTCTCTCTCTCTCTCTTTTTCTCTCTTTTCGGCTCTCTATCTCTCTCTTTTTTTCTGTCTTTCTCTCTCTGTTCTTCCTCTCTCTCTCTCTCTCTCTCTCTCTCTCTCTCTCTCCTCTCGTCTCTCTTCTCTCTCTCTCATCTCTCTCTTCTCTCTCTCTCTCTCTCTCCTCTCTCTCTCTCTCTCTCTCCTCTGTCTTTTACTGAGTCTATCTCTCTCTCTCTCTTCTTCTTTTCGGTTCTCTCTCTCGCTTTCCTCTCTTTTTTTTTCTTTCTGTCTCTCTCTTTTCTCTTTTTCTGTCTGTTTGTCTGTCTCTCTCTCTCTCTCGCTTCTCTCTCTCTCTCTCTCTCTCTCTCTCTCTCTCTCTCTCCCTCTCTCTCCCTCTCTCTCTCTCTCTCCTCTCTTCTCTCTATCTATCTATCTATCTATATAATGTATGTCTATCTATAATATCTATCTATTATATAATCTA